TAAAACTTCCTTTTTTGCAGAGAATGATTTATATTATATAGAATCAATGAATGCTTGTTTTTAAAAGAATAATTGTTGCTTCTCTAACTTAAAAGGCTGTAGCACAGCAAACTATCACATGCTGAGATTTTAGGATGTGCTGTATTATTGCTTTGACAAAACATCAAATGTACATTCAGTCCTGCCAGCGTTACTTGGGCTGCGCAGCTGAAAGAGTATACTGAAAGAAAGTCAGGGACCAAAACTGTTTTCATGAGGCATAAATCTTATTTTTGGCAAGTAGTTTTAAATAATGAAATGCTAGTTTTGGGAAGTGCCATTCAAAATAGATGATAATTTTGTGAAATATCCTTTTAGCCGAGAGAGACTTTGATTAATTTTTAAAGACATACAAAACATGAAACATAAGAACATAAAACCTCTTTTCTGAGAGTTATTTGTAAATTTTAACAAAACAAATAAAACATTTTATACACCATTGGCACATCTCCTTATAAACACATACATATCCTTTCAAATTTCTCATTATTTCTCCCTTTACTTTTATTCAATTATATTTCTTTTCTATATTTTATTCACTATACTTATTTTTCCTTCTGACTTGCTTTATTCTCTTCTATTCTTTATTCTCAATTGTCCTCTTCTAACATTCCTCCAAGGTTTTATTAGCTCAATCAAACATGAACACACAAAAACACAAGACATAGAAACATAAAAAACATCTTTTCTGAAAGTTGCTTAGTCCCGGGTTACAACTCTTCGTACAGACACAAATTCAAATTCATATTCATTTTGTATACCATTCCATATCTTATTACCATTTTCAATTTTCTATATAGCTTCTCATCTCTTTTAAATTTTCTTAGTTTTATTTTATTTATCTCATCTCAATTGAAATCATAATATTTATTATTCTTTGTCTGTTCTATTTCCAGCTATCCATTTATCTTTCTTCTTTGAACAAACCTTCTCCTGTACACTAATTGGAGTATGACGCCTTTATCTCTTTCCCTTACATTTATAATACTTAATATAAAATATGTAGCTTACATTGGGATTCTGTTTGGTACATTCTAAAATTATACAATATTATCAATGCCAATACAAGTCTATTCATTAATATTAATATTCATTTATATCTTAAACACTTAACACATTACTTTTCAATTAATTATCATACTTTTATGGGAACACCGATTTTCCATAGTTATTTCCCCCCCACTTCACATATATTAAATCATTATTTCATTAGAATGTTCCCCCTTCTCCTACTTCAAATCTCTCATTTCACAAAAAATTTCACTGGGATAACACCATCTAATCATTAATATTAATATTCTTAAACATTTTACCCATTTCAATTAAATATCATGCCTTTGTGGGAACACTCATGCTTTCCATAGTTATTCCCCCCCCCCACATCACATATTTTATATCATTGTTTCGTTAAAATGTTCCCCCTTCTACTACAATTCTCCCATTTATTTCATTGCTTTCTTTTTCTTAACAAAAATTTCACTAAATTATACTGAACATTTTATCAGATTTTAAATTACTTATTGTTTCCAATTTTCTAAGATTATTTCTAAGTACAAATATAAAAATACAATCTTATGTACCTTTCCAGAATCCCTTTTTCAATAAAGTTTACCCATTATCTCTAAAAGACTTTTGTTTCTTTGCATCTTGCTCCCCACCATTAAGGCTTCTCGTCCCTTCCTTTCTCCCTTGCTTATTCTTCTCCTTGCCCTCTTTACCCCCATGTCTGTCCACCTCCCTTTTGTTCTGCTTTCCTCCTTTCTGTTGTTTTCTAACATAGTATCCACTTTTCACCTTATTCTTCTCTTTTTTGGTTGTTTTTCCAAGTCTTAAAGTCCCCTTTTCCTTTTTCTCTTTCTCCTTTTCTTCCCCAACTAAAGTCACTTGTTCATCAAAAATGGCTTCTTCTTTATCCCAGTCATCCTGTTGCGCAGTCAGCTTTTCATAAGTACAAACCGTCATTTCTAAAAATTGAAAAAGAGTGCCAAGAGAATCCTTCCCTTCTTGCTCTTCTTTTTTATATTTTTGGTATTCAAGTTTCAATCCATCCACAAGTGATGCCATTATAGAGAGAAAAGGTTTTTCCAAACAACCACCCAAGTGCTTTTAATCAAAGATAGTTCAGAAGCTCCAAAATCACCAAGCAATCCAAATAAGCTGTTTCTTTTAAGTACTTTCTCCTTCTTCACTTTCTCTTTCTAGGGTTAATGTTTAGTCACAAAGTTCCATTTAAAATATATATTTTAGAAGTCTTATTGATGTTTAATAACTCTTTAAAAATTCTAGGCAATCTTCTCCTTATTTTCAAATTCTGCTCCAATTTTTTTTTCTTTTCCTCTCCCTTCCCACTCACAGCAAAAGGTTTTTTTTAAAAAAAAATGTTCAGAAATCCTTATCCCTTCAGCATTTAATTACCTCCAATGCAGGTTTTCCAATTTCTCTTATAGTTCCATCCGCTGTCACGTTAGGAAGGAGAGTGAAAAGAAAGAATAGAAAAAAACTTTCCGTTTTAGAATTCCATTCTCCGCTTGTAACTCTCTCTGGAAACAATTTATCTTTGGCAGCTTTCAAATTCCAGGGTACTTTCTCTTACTTTATCCCGGTCAAAAACCACTTTCACAGCTCTTCCGACTTTCTTCCTCCTGCACGATCTTGTCCGGCCGCTCCTCCGCCTTAGCCGAGAGAGACTTTTGATCCTGTTGTAACATAGGAGGACCTCTTTAATTGTAGGCCTGTTCCTCTGGATTTAGAGGAAAGCTTTCTGTGTTATTCACAGTCTACCTACCCTATATACAGTATACAGCAATTCATCAGCTGCAGAATAGAGGCAATATTTAGTTTTATTATCATTTTCCCATAGTTAAAGTGAATCTGGTTTCCCCAATTGACTTTGCTTGTTGGAAGTCGGCTGGGAAGGTCGCAAATTGTAGCCATATGACTGCAAGATGCTGCAACTGTCATAAATGTGAAACGGTTGCCAATCATCCAAATTTCAATCACAGAACTGTGGGAGTGATCTGATGGTTGCAACCTCAAAGACGGGTCGCGATCCACTTTTTCTGGGTCCACTGTAACTTTGAACCACCATTAAACAAATGGTTATATTTAGAATAAAATAGCACTGGAAGGGACCTTGGAGGTCTTCTAGTCCAGCTCCCTGTTCAAGTAGGAGAACCTATACCATTTCAGATAAATGACTCTCTAGTCTCTCCTTAAAAACCTCCAGTGATGGAGCACCCATGATTTCTGAAGGCAAGTTGTTCCACTGGTTAATTGTCCTCCCTGTTAGGAAGTTTCTCCTTAATTCCAGGTTGCTTCTCTCTTTGATTAGTTTCCAATCATTGTTTCTTGTCCTGCCCTCTGGTGCTTTCCTCTTCTTTATGGCAGACCCTCAAATACTGGAATACTGCTATCGTGTCATCCCAGATTCTTCTTTTCATTAGACTAGCTAAACCCAGATAAGTACTATCTGCATTTAGGTTTTAACTTCTTGCTCGTCAGTTACCTGGATTTTAAATAATAGTGTTTTGAACTTTAGCCTAAAAAGAATAGACAGTCCTTCATTCCTACCTTCCAATATTTTTTTAGTTGAACTTTCACGTTTCACCTACTTTGCTGAAGTAGTAATATGACTGATCTGGTTAAAACACCAAATATTGACCAAATAAAATTTAGCCTTAATTCTGGTATTTGAGAAACCTTGTCTTATATTAAAGAAGAAAGGAATTAAATTATATTAGTATTTTTTGTAATTCTAGAGTCGTTTATGGTTGTCTCTTGTTGATCAGAAAGGTCAGCAGTTTAAATACCTAGCATCGCATAATGGAGTGAGCTCCCGTTACTTGTCCCAGCTTCTATCAACCTAGCAGTTCGAAAGCATGTAAAAATGCAAGTAGAAAAATAGGGACCACTTTGGTGGGAAAGTAACAGCGTTCCATGTGCCTTCGGCGTTTAGTCATGCCGGCCACATGACCACGGAGACGTCTTTGGACAGCACTGGCTCTTTGGGTTTGAAACAGAGATGAGCACCACTCCCTAGAGCCGGAAACGACTAGCACGTATGTGCAAGGGGGACCTTTATCTTTACTTTAGGGGGAAAAAATCATATAGAGGAAATACTCTTTCCAGCAAGCACAAGAAAAAAGTGACTAGAGGAAAATGAGACATTGCTGATAGATTTTTTGTTAAAAATGATTAAGGTGTAATAGATTAGATTCTTCAATTTGGATTTCTTGCAGAATCAAATTTAAATCCAAAAATTGGTTTTTAAGTACTTTTTACCTTGACTTCGCAGTATCATAGGTTTAATTTCGAGCATCACTGATGATCAGTTTTATTGCTAATATTTTTGTTATTATCGTATATTTGCAGCTACGTTTGAGGAAAAAAATACTAGGACTTCTTTATCCCATGGGGAAATAGTTCATTTTAATATGCCTTTGGATTTTTATATAGGGAAATGTATTTAACATCTTGGGAAACATTAAATATAGTATTTGTTCAGTTAAAGACATGCTGGGATATTCATGTTCATCATGGAACTGTGGCAACAAAGTCAATCAGTTTTGTTACTTAATATTTTTATCCCACTACATAGAAAAAAGTTTAAAGAGAGATCAATTCAAAACTAGAAAGGAATAGTATGACTTGTAAGTTACTATTTATATCTAACTCAGGGCAAGTTGTTTCTTATCTAAATAATAAATATACACCCTTATTCCCTTGATGAATTGATGAGGCCCAACACAACTGCTGTCCAACTATAGGTTTAGTTTCAGTAGCTTTTATACATTCTGGAAATTAACATCTGAGTTCCTGCTGCTCAAGCTGAAAAACCTTCTGAAAGTTGCATGTTTTAAAATTGGATTTCAAAATTTGTCTTTCCAAATGAGAAAATTTCTAATTCAATCTCAAAGGAGCCATTCGTTAATTTTAACATTCCACGTATGTTCGTTCTTCAGCATGCTGGATTATGACACGGAAAACCTAAATTCTGATGAAATTTATAGTTCTCTTCGTGGAGTCACAGAGGCTATAGAAAAATTTAGTTTTCGTAGCCAAGAGGATCTAAATGAGCCAATCAAACGTGATGCAAAGAAGGACAGTGATATTGTAAGTAGACATTGAAAGAATATGTAATTTTTGTGTGATATATTGAAAGCAGTGATCATTAGTATTTAGATGAATAGTTTGCTATTTTCAACATCTCCTACATTGTTCAGTTTCAAGCAAACAACACATGGGTGATTGATTTTATCAACTGGGTATTTTTTACATTTAACAGTTTGACCCGATCTGCTGGGTTGTGTAGGAGAAGAAGAGGTCTGGGGGCAGAGTCAAAAAAGGAATCAGTCTGGAATCATTATATTCCCACAAGCAAGCCATGTTCAACACCCCTTGAATTCTGTTAAATCTTATCTAACAACAATTTAGTTTGACTGGAAGTAACTTGTGATCCTGATTCTTCCTGCCTGACAGAATGCTAGATCTCGTAGTAATAACCTATTTTAGGAGCATCAGTTTGAGATATGCTGATGTACACATATATAATACATATACAGTATTGTTTCATTTAAAAAAAAAATATAACTTTAATTCTTTATATTTGCCATTCCTGCAATGGAGAACATGATGGGGAAAAAATCACATTTTTTCTTATAAAACTAAAATATATATACTTTCTGTACTGAATTGTAAAATTATATGATTTAATACAATTTTTTTCACTAGAATCAAATGCTTGATATATAGTAGTTCTGTGCTCAAAAAAAGTGGGGGAAGAAGGAAAGGGAGGTATGTATGTTTGTATAGGAGGCTGTCTTGAGACTATTCCGAATATTTGCTCACACATACATTTTCTGGTAGCCAAATGAAGCAGTTGGATTTATGAACAGAAACACCTAAGTGAATGAAATCCAGGGTGCTCATTGAAGCCATGCCAATTATCATATGTTGGATTCAAAAATTTTATAATTTTCTTCCTCTCCTCAACATTGGCAATAAACCCAGTTCATAGTCTTGTTCAATATTATTTAGCAGCTGCAGAGAGAAGGAATAACAACTTATTGGAATGGCTGCAGTCGATGAAGAAAACCTATATTTAGAAACGGTCAGTTTGAAATTAGGGTTTAGTGCAAACAAAGTTCGAATTTATTTAGTCCTACTAATCAGATTCAAAATGGGAGAAGACTGCTGTTTGCAGTGGTTTAACCTATTATCAGATAGAATTGCCCCTTCCAGCTTAATGGAAATTGGTCGCAATAAAGTCGTCTTTCTTTGATCAATTGCTACAGGTTTCCAGAGATGATGGTATAGCCTCCCCAGCCACTGATATGCGTGGAAGCAGTGATGTGGTGGAAGGAGGAAGGATGGCTCTGGATAACAAAACCTCCCTACTCAACACCCAGCCCCCACGTGCCTTTTCTGGACCCCGAGCTCGAGAGTACAACCCTTACCCCTACTCTGATACTATCAGCGCCTATGATAAAACTGCTCTTAAGGAAGCCGTATTTGATGATGATATGGATCAGCTTCGGGATGGTTGGTTTTCATTTATTTTTTTTAAAATTCAGTATTGAACTTTTTGTTGCCTTAACATTTACGCATCGGTGTTAAACTGTTACAGGCTATCACTCTGACGCTAGCTTCTTGAATTCAGTTTACATCATTTCCTTAATCAGCCTTGCTGGAACAAGTAAAAGTATCTTGCTCCTGGGCAAGAGATTCAACTAGGTGGTACAGCAGCCACACAGCTCATCTTTCGATTCTAATAGTGAGACTTGAGCCCTGACATTTTGTAAGCGGTCTTCCACGTTCACATCAGTAAAGGAGACAGGCTCCAAAAGTCATTTCTTTTGAACTGAAAGCTGTATCTGGTTAAACGAAAAGCCATGGGAACAAAACCTTTGTATGTTTTCATCTGGCTCCCCTGCCTTCCCAGAATGGCTTTATGAGCACATAGTGACAAGTGGTCACACTGAGAATCAGTTGTTAGAGAATGAATATATTTAGATTATAGATCAAATCTTTGTACTTAAGGACTCGAGACAGATTGTGGTTATAGACTAGTTAGAAATATTGTGAACCTGTCCTACCGTCACCTGTTTAAAGTTCCTGCTTCATTTTCTGTGCTGTGAGATTACTTTCCCACTTTTTTTTCTTTTCAGTGCCCATTGATCATTCTGACTTGGTGGCTGATCTTTTAAAAGAATTATCCAATCATAATGAGCGGGTAGAAGAACGGAAAGGAGCCCTCCTTGAGTTGTTGAAGATTACAAGAGAAGATAATCTGGGAGTTTGGGAAGAACATTTTAAGACAATTTTGCTTTTATTACTTGAAACACTTGGAGATAAAGATGTAAGATAATGCCATAGGCTTGGCTATGCCTCATAGATACTTACCACCTGCACTGTCATTGCAGCCAAAGTGGCTAATGTTTAGATGGTGTTTTTTGTTTTTGTTTTAGTTTAATCTGGCTTCCACAGTCTCAGAAAAGCCAACCAATAGTTATCTAACCCCCACCTCCAGTTTCTCTGAAGGAGCATCCCTCTGATACTGTGACACTTGACATTTGTATTCCTTGAATGTGTGGTGCCTTTTGGCACCCTGTTGCTGTGCTACTCACTTCCTCTACCAGATATCTCTCCAATTGAGGAGGGGACCCATCACAGAGTACTCAAGATGCCCTCAAAAGCTGATCCTGATAGGATAGGGGCATCAGTATGGATTTGGAGATGGATGCTGCTGCCAAAGAATAATTCTACCAGCAACACATAGTCTGAGAACGAAATGTAATATGCAGAGTCCCTTTAAAATTTTATATTAACTTTAGTTTAGTTTTAATCAAATGTAATCGGCTTGAAATTAAAGTTAGTTTTTGCTCTAGCCCTGCCTAATTTTCAGAGCATTGCCTTTGGCAAATAACCCAGTATATAAAGACTGGGTTGTCCTTAGCTCCCCAAAGTTGCAGCTATGCCATTTGATGGCAAGATGACACTTAAAAAGCTAGTACATTTATTATTGCAGAAATTAGTCTTGCCCAAACTGGATGTCCATGCTGAGGGATTTTGGAAAGTTTATTATTGTGTATATTATTTTATGTAAACTTGTATGCCTCCTAACTCACAGTGATTCTGAACAGCTATAAACTTTTGTGGCTTAATTAGACTATTATTTTTCCGTTTGAGTAAGCAAAATTGTCATTGCAGTGGCTATGAGATTACACACATGTCAAAATTTTAATTTAGTATTTGAAATATTTAAAGAAGAAACTATGTTTCTTCTTCTTTTTGGGTAAGGAAATAGATATGGTATCTTTTCAGTGGCCTTTGAATAGATGAAAACCACATCAAAAGCAAGCAAAGCCAATAAACAATTCACCACTCAGCCAGACCCAAGTGTTCTGCAATTGAGGATGTAGTCTGAATTATTTCATCCTCATAAATTCAAATTAACTTCTCCTGCTATAGTAGGCATCCCCAACCCCCAGTCCATGGACCAATATCTGTCTGCAACATGTTGAGAACTGGGCCACACAAGCTGGTGATCTAGTTTGTGCGCATGAAACCATCCCCCTGCCACCGCCACCACCATCAATCTGTGGAGTCTGAACCATTGTGCTATAGGATAGATAACATCTACTCTATTGATATTATATGACTATAATCTGTTTTCTTATCCATCCTTTTAATAAAGGCAGAGTGCCTCAAAAATGAGAATGAGGTGGATGGTATCTAAATTTGATAAATAAATAAATTAAAACAGGACCAAACACAAATTCATAGAACATTAAGTACTTTCAGAATAACATGCTGAAAGCAGGTAATAAAATTTGGACCTGTTATTTTTTTGCCATTTGTTTCTATCAGTACTTCTTGTCATTGGATGTTCAAAGATTAAAATTGGGACGAATCAAGTGTTAGTTGGGAGCCGCAAAACATGAGGACATACTTAACAAAGGTTCAGTCTGAGGAAGTTAAACCATATGCTTCTGGGTTGAAGCTAGTCAATGGTTGAAATGGCTTTCATCCAAAAGCATATCCCAACAGTTGCATAACCTGAGCTGTTATTCGAATATTCTCACTAATGAACTTGGATAAAGATGCTGGTGACTAGGGAGGAGTAGGACTGTCATGGCAGCAGAGTGAATGAAAAAATGAATACCGATCTCCAAAAGAAATGTAAAATAGATGTATTCATGCAAAACATGGCTGCTTTAGCTTCCTGTGTTACTAATAATATAGTATTGGTCTTCATTACCAAATAAGATCCAAGGAAATGAAATTTAATTGAGTTTTTGGATTTTTTATGTATTTCAAAAAGAGACTGAATCAGAAATGGTTATGTAATAAATTTGTTTGCTATTCTCTTAGATACACAGTTCAGTGGGTGGCTTATTTTAATATAAAAGCTCCCAATATTAATTAGCAGCTATTTAGTTCTCATGCAAAGAATGTGATTCAGTTTTGCTAATGAACTTGAGCCCATGATGCAAGGCTACTATGGTGTTCCCTTCTGAGCCTTGTCAATTTTTCTTGACTTAAAAAATTGATTTTATAAAATGTGTATCCATTCCAATCAAACAATGCATTCCTTATATTAATGGTTTTGAAGAGTGAAATGATGTCTTCAAGCCACCCAGAGTCGCTTATTAATGAGATGGGAGGTATGTAAATTTAATAAACAAAGATGTGCTACTTCTTTTGATAATAGCATTCAATACGAGCCTTGGCCCTGAGAGTTTTGCGGGAAATTCTGAGGAACCAACCAGCAAGATTTAAGAACTATGCTGAACTAACTATCATGAAGACCCTAGAAGCGCATAAAGATTCTCATAAAGAGGTAATTCTGAGTGTCATACTATATACCGTACTTTAAGAATCAATGTGTCTGTAGGTCATGCACTACTATTAATTTAAGTTTTAATGGAATGAAGAGAAAAGTAAATCATACCTTAATGGAATTCCTAACTTATAGCTCTGACTAGTTCCATATATTATTGACTGTGGCCCTAAATTTACTTTTCTTATGGGTCTGCATTTAAAGCTATCTCATGTGAAGGACTTAAGCTTGGTAGCCATCTTTTAGCCATATATGGCCTTATATTATAGCACATTATCTGCAGCCTCTAGAACAGCGGTGTGAAACTTATGTCATCACAGCGGCATCACATGACTTTTTTCCACTTCGTTAAATTGGGTTCGGGCGTGGCCAGCACGTGACGCATCTGGTTCATGGGCCCTGCTTTAAGACCCACAAAACCTTTTAATGGGTATATGTTTCAGAATTTAATAACCAAAATTAAGGCAGCCATTTTGGTTTAGTTTATCCCAGGTTTTCCCAAATTAAAAATTGTCCATAAGTCAAAAATTTCAGATCCACCTACTTTGCAGATATTCCTTAAGCAGTGTTGTCATTTCCCCAACACAAAAAAAGGTTGCCATTTCTTGCCAGATGGCATTGCAGCTGGTGGTTTGTAATGTAATTGAATGTAAAGGAAGGAAGGAAGTGACAAATAAAATGAAATAAAGAATATGAAAACATTCAAGCTATTTCAATTCCTTATGTTTTATGTTTAACCCACACCAGATTTTCTTAAGGTGATTTTTTTTAAAAAAAAAAACACCTAGCTTTAGTCCTGTATATATTTTTGCACATTTACATCATGACTCTCCAGATTTATTACAGGACTGTAATCTTTGTAACTGAAGGCAATTGAGTTAAGGGTATGCAGTTCTGTATAGAATAATGAAAACTTAAATATAGAAACAAAAGAGAGAGAGAGTGCTTTTGGTCATAGAATAGGAATAACAGAATAAGCTGCACTATACATCCATTTAGCTGTTTACAAGATTGTGGTTTTAAATACATGATGATTTACTCAGTTAAATAAGCAACATGGGAACAAAGGCATAATAATTGTTGTGAAAGGTCAGGAAATATTTAATCCTTTTAATAAATCAGTATGTCTTTATTATGTTCTCTTGGAATCAGAGTCTTCATACAACAACTTTCTGTGTATGTGTAGCCACAATTAGCAACAGTTGTAACAGATTTTGCGATAAAGCACTTGGACAAAACATTTTGTTCTTAAGGAGTGCCTTTGTTGGCAAGATTCTCCCTACTGTGCATTCTTATTGTCTCTCCTTTGACTTTGTGCCCTTGTCCTTTTCTTTGTGAATTACCTGTGCAAATGATTGAGAAAGCTTGCCATCTCCAGCGTCATTTATTTTGGTTAAATTTTTGTATAAACTTTTTGCATTGCAGCTGGTGGTTTGTAATGTAATTGAATGGGAAGGAAGGAAGGAAGGAAAGCTTTATTTGTTTTTTGTACTTTGAAAGGAAGAAAAGGTTTGTTGAATATTGGCAATTGAAAGAGCTGTAGGGTAAATTTTTCTCTTTTTTTCCCCATCTTGCTTTTAGAGGCTTATCTTTTCCTATTTCTAGAAAAATGGTCAGTCTGACATATCTTATTCATTGTACTATGGAACTTAATTCAAGAGAATTATTGTACCCAAGTTGTGCTTTTTTATTAATAGAAGTGGTGGGTCCTATTCCATATATCTCTGAGCCTGGCTTTGCTAGTCTCAGAGATATATGGAATAGACCTCACTGGAGAAATTTATAATAATGAAAAGGCCAGATTCCAATAGAAATATTTAAGAGACACAATAGTACTTCTTTGAGAGAACTTAGCATTTATTTCTACAGTATTTTCTTCCTTCTTTTTTAAAATAAATCATCCACTGATAAAAGGGCCTCTCTTTTAATAACTGACAAGTTTGCGGTGCATTTTAATGGCAAATATTGTTGAAAATCTTTCAAACAATGTCTAATGAACCAGCACTGTCTACATATTCTCAAAGAAAACTGGTAGTTAGTAAGAGAGGTTTAAACTTAAGGAAGCAGTGCTGAAATCTTCTTCAAAAAGATTTTTCATTCCGTTTGTTTAATATTTTTTATTTGAAGAAAGATTTTTACAGTTAATCCAGAATATATATATATACAGCAATTAGCCTGTAATTTCCTGGATCTCCAACATCCCTTTTACAATGATATTATCATACACTTTTCAGTACTCAAAACAACTGATCGTAAAACTGTTGTAAAGTTCTGCAATTTTAAATAACTTTGCTTTAATACAACTTCCTTTATTTACCACATTGTGCCTCAAGTCCTTGGACTAATTTCCTAAAATTAACTAAATTACGATTAGTACTGTCCTTTATCTTTTGTATTGAAAACAGACACAAATAATTGTTATAATTCTGCTTGTCTGCTTTTATTATTCCTTTTCTTTTATTGTCATCCAATTGCCTCCTTTTATCTTTTTCTCCTTTTGACATATTTAAATATTTTTATTGTTTATTATTAGCAACACAATACTTTTTTGTGTTTTTATTTGCTTGCTTTTCCTTAGCAGAACTATTCTTTTTTGTTCTCATTTTAGAAGGATTTCCATTTCTTAAGGAATATCCATTTCTTGGATTCAATATCTAGCGTATGCTGTCCATTCTACTATTTTATTATGTTGTAGTAATGAAAACAAGGAAATAAGGGTATAAACCTTGGACCCAGGATAGATATTGTTTGTCTGGCCAAAGGCTGAGTTCTTTTTTTTTAATGTTTACTCTAATTTGGGTTATCATTCTGGGAAAGAAATGACAACCACTCCCCTGCTTTGTCTTCTTCTTATTTAAATACTCATGGATTGTGAGTGTTTACTTAGGCTTTTATTGAGCTAAAAGGAAATATACTAAAATTTTAGTATATTCTCAGTATATTTTCTTCCAAAAATTTTGGAATTAACCATTTGTCTGAAGTATATGTCTAGAAATCATATTCAGAAGAATGGCTGTCCTATTGGTCAAGATCTTACCTTGAACACTACTTCCAAGTCAGAACATCACACTTAATATGGTGGATTCACACAACCCGAAACTACACAAAAAAAGGATCAGAATGATCAGAATGACATTGGGAGCTTACATTCTAGAACTGAATCTTTAGCTTTTCAAAAAGTCAACTGGAAGGAGAATGCAGTAGCCTTCTTCAGGCACCTAAAAGCTCAGAAGGGAATCCTGACTTGTTCTCTGTTGTTCCAAAGTGTAGGACATGGACTAACGATTAAATTGCAGGAAGTTACACTCAAGTGTAGGTTAGGACACAGAAATAATTTTCCTAATAAGACCACCTAAACAGTAGAATTTCCCTTTGCTTTAAGCAAAGGCTGGATAGAAGATCACAAAGTTGGACTTGACGAGCTCACTGGGTCTTTCCCATTTTTTGATTTTGTATAATTTTACAATGCAGAATTATCAAAATAAGTTAACATTATCTATATTCTATATTTTTGGGCTTCATTTTATACTTCCAGCAGCCTTTACTCTAATGAGTGTACAGTAGCCAAACTGTATTTTCTTCTTTATATTATGTTTGTACCAGTTATTATGAGTGAAATGAATGAAATAAATACACACAACATGTATGGAAGAGTACATATATGGGAGCTGTATGCATATGTATTTATGTTATGGATGATTTAGAATGCCATTGAAAGAAAATGTATTGCTACTAACATATTTAATCTGTTGAACAAGTGACTGAATAAAAATATTGAAGACATTGATTCACATCTGAATAACATTAGAATAGGCGGCTGTATTGCTGTGCAAAAATCTATCCTGTGCTGCACAATTCCTTCTGCAGCTGTTACATATGTATATAGAATATGCAAACCAGAATAAATTCTGGGTAGAAAATTCACCTTTTTATTTATGCTGGATATCTGAATACATTTAGACCAAAAAAAGCATTTTGACAGATATATTAATTTGCTCTCCGCTTATTACAAGGAAGATCTTCAGTTATCATCATACCCTAAAATGCAGAATATACAAGTTTAAGAAAAGTCATTGGAATCAAAGTATGATGATGCCTATTTTCTCCTTATGTTTCCTTCAACAGTACATCATTCTGCAATAATTAATTCTTCTTATATGTTTTGTAAATGCAGGACTAAGTTTCCCATGCTCACCCACTGTTGACGGCAATGGCAGCATTTTTATAGTGTCCTAATAGAAAAATATATTCAGAAATATTCAGTTACTGAGACAATCGATATAATATAATAAGCTTGCAGTTGCCTATACCCGTGGTTCTCAAGGATGGAAAGGTATTACTTTTTGTAATGCCGTAACTTTAACATTTCTCCATGCTTGCCTTTCTCACTATAGGTTGTGAGAGCTGCCGAGGAAGCTGCTTCCACTCTGGCTAGTTCCATCCATCCAGAACAGTGCATCAAAGTGCTTTGTCCCATCATTCAAACAGCTGACTATCCAATTAATCTGGCTGCTATTAAAATGCAAACGAAAGTCATTGAAAGAATCTCAAAGGAGTCATTGCATCAGCTCCTACAAGACATCATCCCTGGATTGTTGCAGGTATGCATCTATGTATGGAATTGTTCAGTTGCTCCAAGCAGCAAATATCATTTTTATTTATTTTATGTTGATGTCTCACAAATTATAAGTCTTGCTAAATGGAATGAAATAATAATAGGAAATTAGAATGAAATGCATTTTCAGTGCAAATTAGGAACCTTTGGGCTAAGGACCTGTTTCAACCTTAAGTCCATCCAAAGCCACCACCACTCTTTCTGTCATTGCCAGCCATATTGCATCTTGTTGAGTAGAGAAGCAAATTGGGGGACAGAGATGGTAGAAACAAGTGTCTGTGGAATCAACTTTGATCCACCTGCATCCTTTCTGTGGTTCCACAGAACAACTACTCTTGGTTTGAAAAACCATGCTCTTTTGTATGGAACATGTCTTTGCACAGAAAAAAAATGGATGGCTTCAAGGGCCAGTCCCAAAGGTGCTCTTTCAAGAGGTAACTGGACTTTCTTGTTTTTCTTTGAAGACCTTTTGCTTCTCATCCAAGAAGCTTCTTGGATGAGAAGCTAAATGTCTTCAGAGAAAAACAACCGTGGACAACCGTGGAGGACTGAGAATCTCCATAGACTTCATGGCCAGTGGAGGATTCCTCTCCAATCCTCCCACACTCATCCCTGTTCTAAACTTAAAAACTCTTTATTGAACCAGTCTTTCTGCTTCTTTCCCATTGCTGCCTTAATAGCCTTTAGATGTGGCAACCAGTAAGACCTCCAACTCTTAAAAAAATTTTCAGACTATGTTTGCTATTTTCAGACAGCAGTCAGAGAATGGTTGCATTTCCTTTACCATCTTCACTAAAGATTTCATTCAGACAAGTTTTTGTTTATTTAGAGAAATTCATCCTGGAAACTTTCAAAAGTACAATCAGAAGAGTCACTCTGAACCTCCCTAGTTGTTTGATGAAGAAAGGTCAGTTTCTGCTAAAGGGTTACAGACAGTAAATTCTAATCCTGTGAGTGTTCAAGTAAATTTCTTGGAGTCTGCTTCTCTGTGTCTTTCCTCCCCCTTCATCTGAGGCATAAGGCTTTTTACAGTCAATCTTAGCATCTGATAAGTTTCTCTCTGTTTTTAACTGACAGTTTATGAATCACCTCTCCAGTAAAAGGCTTGAAGCAGTGAAGGGAAAAGTTAATATAAACTCTGAGAATACAGACATTGTGTTGGTCAGGTTCCAGAGAAATCCTTCATTTGCACTCATTGTCTTTCTTGCCTCATGCAGGCTAATTGAAGGTTGAAATATCTCACCTGATTTATTGTAGTTTTTCCTCCTCAACCAGCTTGCTTAAGGACAGGTTCTGCTGTCTTCTTTCTCTGTTCTATCTCATGGGGTGAACAGATACTGTAGTAGCTCTGAAATGGCAGTTGGAGGAGAAAAGGACCTTTCAGACATTTCCAAGTTCCTTTGTTCCATTGTAAGACTCCAAAGGCCATTTTTCATGTTTTGAAAATGATTTGGGTTTTTTTATACAGGTTAGCTTGTATTATATACTTTATCTCTGAACTACTTGTTCAGCTGTTCTTATTAGTCCTTCCTTGCTCCCTGTGTCAGATCTTCTGACTGAATGTTTTAGGTTGCATGTTTGAAAATCAGTTCATTTTATGTCTTTTAGTCATTCAGCATGAAAGTGTCCATGAGTTTAGTAACTTCAAGATATATTACATAGTGGTACATAATGATTTTATCCATTTAAAAGAGTGTCTAACAAAATACAAGGTA